TTTTGTTGCCTTTTTAATTCATCTGGAGCTTGTTTCTGTTCTGCTTAGGTTGAATGAAGAAGTGATTTGTCTAGGATGACCTAGACGAACCTCAGCCCTTTAGTCGAGCAGCAACCCTATTTTTCTTCCTGCTCCCTCCAGCCCATCGTTTTTTAGTGGTTTAAGTCCTTAGCGTGCAAGGCCTTTCCTGTCAGCTCTGCAAATATCAATCTGACTGGTAAATGGAGAGGGTCTTGTGGGCCCCGCTTTCTCACCCAGGCCAGTTTAGCTGTGACGTAACCGATGCCTTGGAGCGTTATTGCTGTAGAACTCTACTAGACGGACTAATTCAGGCCAGTGTGATGTTCCCAGGCCTTCATGGTTTAAAACCACATGCTCGGTTGGCTCAAATTGGTGCTTGTATTTGATGAATTCCACAGAAATTCCAAAAACAGAAGAGAGATGTTTTAAAACAATTCATAAAATTGGCTGCTACGTTGCCAGAGCATATCTGTTTGGTCCTGAGTGGTTTGCAGAAGTTTAGGCAGATTCTGTGGCAGAATTGGCAATGGTGGAAGACCTCAGAGGTGGTTCCCCGGAGACAGGCTTGGAGGCCGACAGAGCACAGGCTGGCAGGCTCACGAGTGGACGCTCAGCAGCTACAGGAAGTCCCTCTAGAGTTCTTCAGTTAATTCTCTCGCACGCAAACACAACTGTGTCATCCCTTCTCCGCTCGCCCACATCCTCCAACCCTCAGGTTTTACAGGGGTAAACGGATGGTGTCAACTAGGAACTTTCTTATCTTCGCTGCGCAGAGGTGTAAACTGACGTACATCTACCATTAGCCTTTCTGCTCCCTCCCTGCCGCCGCTGGAAAAGCTCTTCTTTCTGTCTCCAGTGCCCTGTGGTTTAGAGCTATCTCTCCGCACCATCCCAGGTGTCTTAGGATATCGGTTATCCCTTCTTACTCATACTCTCAACCCCTCCCTCCACCTTTTTTTTTTTTTTGGCCACACCCTCAACCCCTCCCTCCCCCTTTTTTTTTTTTTTGGCCACAGCACGTGGCATGCGGGATCCTAGTTCCCTGACCAGGGATTGAACCCCTGCTCTCTGCAGTGAAGTACAAATTCTCAGCCACTGGACCGCCAGGGAAGTCCCAACCCCTCCCCTTTTTAAGCGCCCCCAGGTCCTTCCTGTGGAAGACAAGCAAATCAACAGTACCTTAATATATTTTTTTATTTTTTATTTTTTTGTGGTACACGGGCCTCTCACTGTTGTGGCCTCTCCCATTGCGGAGCACAGGCTCCGGACGCGCAGGCTCAGCGGCCATGGCCTACGGGCCCAGCCGCTCCGCGGCATGTGGGATCTTCCCGGACCGGGGCACGAACCTGCGTCCCCTGCATCGGCAGGCGGACCCTCAACCACTGCGCCACCAGGGAAGCCCCAACAGAACCTTTATTTGATTCTTCCCCCTCCTCCACACACCCATTCTCTGGCCTCTTCCTTCACAGCCAAGCTTCTTGGAAAAGCTGTTCATCCTTCCTGTCTCCTCGCCGTCCACTAGACTTTCAGGCCCCTCTCCAGGTCCACTGACCAGCAGATACTCTAGCTCTCATCTTGTTTGATCTTTCAACAGTTCTTGATGTTCTTCCTTCTGGAAACACTGTCTTCCTGTGGCTACCGTGACATGACTCTCTCCTTACGTTCCTTCTGTCCTTGTCTGCTCCCGTCGGCCTTTCTAAGGTAGACGCGTCATCAGCGCTGATGCATTTCATCCTCTGGGCTCCACGAGGCCGTCTTGTCCTCATGGAGTCACAGTGCTGGCAGCCTCTAAATGTGAGATCTCCTGCCCAGGCTTCTCTGAGCTTTGGATGAGTGTGTCCCACCATTTTCATACTGTTTCTTCCTCATGAAATCCAAAGGCACCTCCTAAAATGAAAGTGTCTAGAACCCCCTCCATCCTGGCCCTCTTCCAGTACTCCCTGTGTCTGATTGGCAGCAGCATCCATCCAGATGCCTATGGCAAAAATCTCAGTGTCATTCTGGTTATCGTCTCCTTCTCGGCCACCACATCTAGCCCATCGGTAAATCCCACTGGATTTTACCTGTTACATTTTTCCTTTCTTTCTTTCTTTTTGTAAAAAAATTTATTTATTTATTTATTTATTTATTTTTGGCTGCGTTTGGTCTTTGTTGTTGCACGCGGGCTCTCTCTAGTTGTGTCAGGCGGGGACTACTATTCATTGCGGTGCGCGGGCTTCTCACTGCGGTGGCTTCTCTTGTTGCAGAGCACGGGCTCTAGGCGTGTAGGCTCTAGAGCAGAGGCTCAGTGGTTGTGGCACACGGGCTTCGTTGCTCCACAGCATGTGGGATCTTCCCGGACCAGGGCTCGAACCCGTGTCCCCTGCATTGGCAGGCGGATTCTTAACCGCTGTGCCACCGGGGAAGTCCATGTTACATTGTTCTTGATTCCACCTAATTTTCCCCAACTGCTTCTGCCCTCCTGGTTCAAAACACCATCCTCTTTTGCCTGGACGACTGCAGCAGATAACCTGCATCTATTCTGACCCCCTCTTTCTGTTCTCACACTGCCAGCGTAATCCTTTCAAAGTGCAAATCTGATCGTATCAGCCCCATATTTAAAATTCTTCCCAGTGTTCTCAGGCTAACAATGAAGTGTCTTAAGGTGGCCTCTGTAGGGTCTGGCCCCTTCCTGACCCACCAACCTTGTTCTGCTGTCATGTTGGTCTCCCCTAATGTTAAGTCACCTGGACAGGTGTTTTTTTGTTGTTGTTTTTTTTTTTTTTTGTTTTTAACTTCCACATTGATAAAAAATGCTGGGGGCGAAGGGAAAGGAGTCTGTTCGGCGCAGGCTCACGGCCATGGCTCACGGGCCCAGCCGCTCCGCGGCATGCGGCATCCTCCCGGACCGGGGCACGAACCCTCGTCCCCTGCATCCGCAGGCGGACTCCCAACCACTGCGCCACCAGGGAAGCCCTGGACAGGTGTTTTTACTGCATGTCTTCATAGCTTCTTCTCACCTCTCTTCAGATTTCAGCACAGTGTCACCTTCAGGGAAGGCTTCCTCCTGCCTCTGCCCCACCTGTAACTGGGTCAAACCTCTCCATCCTGACACTCAGAGTCTTCTGGGACTCCCCCTTGTTTCCTTTGTCTCAAGTACTTCTTTACTTTTCTTGGGAAGGTTTTGTTTCCTGTCTTTCTCACTAGACCATATGCTCCATGAAGCAGGCACCATGATTGGTCTCCCATCATTGTATTCCCAGAACCCAGCAGTGCAACACAGTGATGTGTTGTTGAATGAATAAACGGGTTTGAAGAACAGGGTTTGAGTCCCAGCCCTGGGCAGCTATGGTCTGAATCCCACTTTTCTCGTTTGTCAAATGGAGATATTTTTGCCATCTTTTAGGATTCTTGGGAGGAAAATAATTCATCTCACAAACGACGATTGTTGTTTTGAATGATTATTCTCTCTCATCTTAAGGTTGAGTCTTATGAATGTGACAGTGGAGATGATCCTAAGTCAACTAATGCCTTTATTGTTTTTCTCATATAACAAAGTGGTAGGGAATGGGGAATATAGAAATGAGAATTTCATTAGAAAATCATATTTATTTGAAACGGTGGTGGGGAAGATTAATCTGAATAAATAGACACTTAAATTTTTTTTACTTTTACTTTTTTCATTATGAGAATTCTGAGTGATCATTGAAGGTAATTTGGATGATATAGAAAGGCAGAAGAAAAGAAGCCATCACCCATCTTCCCACCTCCCAAACACATTTTCCCACACTCTCAAATAATTCATCAGAAGTCAAGTTATGGGATGAAAGAGTATGTATATGAATACTTTTTAGGCTTTAGATAATTATTCCCTAATTGGTCTCCAGAAACGTTGTGCCAATTCATACATCCACCAGTAGAGTAGGGCAGTGTCCATTTCCTGGCACCCTTGCCAACTCTGGATTTATGAAATACAGACATGTACTGCATACAGGCATATCTAGATACGTATTTAATGGGTGGAAATGGTATTTGATTAAATTTGCATTTGTAGTGCAAGTTACTCCTGAACTTGGACATTCTCTTGTTAGCCATTGGCATTTTTTCTTCACCAATTACCTGTTATTCTTTGCATAATTTTCTTTAGGAGTGTTTCTCTTTTTCATATTTACTTATAAAACCCTCTTTACATTAAGCCCATTAACTTTTAAAAAATCATATATGCAAATATGAGCTTCAGTAGAACCCTTTCACATGATCACAAGTTCAAGGGTTAACTTATACTTTATTAATGACAACTGGTTTCTCTCTTTTAAAATTTTGCCGCTTGAATTGCATGCTAAGGAGAATGTGTGTGCAAAGAGTCTGGACTTTGAAGTTGGACAAACCTGATTTCAGTCCTAGCTCTGCCACACTCTAGCTGAGGGCCTGGGACAAATTATTGAGCCTCTGCAAGTCTCAGATTTCTCTCCTGACTAACAGGAATCCTCTCGCCTTGCTTTGAGAGGTAAATAGCTTATGGATGGTGCCCTGTGCAAAAGTATGTTCTATAAATATTCACTCCCTTTCTGTACCCCTCAAAGAAAGATGTGCTGTTCTGTACGTACATCTGTATACATGTATTTTGTTTCACTAAGGAGCACACGTATTTTACTCCATTTATAGCCAGATGTGCAATCACGCATTAATATTTACTGAGTAGTTAACTGTGATCAAAGTACCAGTGAGAATAGAAAAATTCTTAGTGAACCGTGCACTATTTGCATCTAGGAGAGATTTTTAATTTTCAAGCTCAGGGATAATATTAGCAAATTCGGATCCATTCTATAAACATGGGAGACAATGTAAGTTATGGCATTCTGGAGGGAAAAAAAAAAGGCACAGACCGCTTCAAATCATCAAAAATATTTTGATTTTAAACAGCTCCTAGTGGAGTCTCAAAATACTTGCACTCTCTCATTGAGAATTGATGTCTCAGTCTGTTCTCTTTTCCTTTGTAGGTGTGGCTGGATCTCTTAAAACCTATTGTCAAGCAGATTAGAAGTAAGTATAACCGCCGCCCCCCCCCCCCCTTGTTTAACAGTGATGTCAAATATGAAGCCAGACGTCTTCCTTGTCTAGGTGTTGTCGGCCCTGTGGTGTCAAGCACTGGGGCCATACTTTCTTTTTTTGCCCTGTGATTGCGTTTCAGCATCCACTAACCCACGTACTATTAAATGTATCTTCTGCAATTTTAATATATAACAATTTGGTAATCAAAACTTGGGAAACAAATGTCATTTTAATTAACGACTAAAGCAGGCTCTTAAGGCCCAGAGCAGTTGAGCTTGTCCGGTCTGTGTTCATGTTTCTTACTGTCACTTTGGAAGTGGAGAGGTGGAACCATTTATTCATAAAATTGTTATTAGGTTTTCTGTGCTGCCTTTTCAAAGCCTGTGAGATCAGAATGCAAGTGGTGTTTGGAAAAATAAGGTGCGCAGAAGTGTATGAGTGTGTGTGTGTGTGTGTGTGTGTGATTGGCAAGCAGGACAGAAGGGAGTCTGCCTTGCATTTAGACCGTGTTGTTGAAGGAAAGATAAAGAAGGGTCTAGGAAAGAAGTAAGGAAAGGGAACACTTGCTTTGTCCCTCCCTTCTCATTGTGCGTCAGCACCAGACCATCCTCCCCTTTCTCCGCTGTGAGGTCAAGTTCAGAGACAAACTCTCTTCTCCAGTTCATCCCAAATTGTCCCTCACGGCAGCCAGAGACCAGGCAAGAGACTGAGGATGGTAACAAAACTGCATTCCTTTAGTTGAACAATCACACAATACCTCTTGGGGTCGGTTTTATGTCTGATTAAGAAACCCCACCAGTGCAGTGGTTAAGAATCCGCCTGCTAGTGTAAGGGACACGGGTTTGAGCCCTGGTCCGGGAAGATCCCACATGCCGTGGAGCAGCTAGAGAAGAGGAAACTGGGAGATACCCAGGGGACATGAGAGCCTGTGTGCACAGAGGGGAGACCTTGTGAGGACACAGCCAGAAGGCAGTCGTCTGCAAATCGGTGAGTGAGCTTAGGAGAAACCAAACCTGGGACACCTTCAGCCTCCAGAACTGGGAGGAAATCGATTTCTGTTGTTTAAGCCACCCAGTCTGCGGTACTTTGTTATGACAGCTTGAGCAAACTCTTACTTATAGGCCTTCACATCCCAGCAGGGGAAGTTCCTTGATTCCGTGAGTCCTCCTGACTAGGTGTGGCATTTCTAGAAGCCCATTCGTTTTAACCAAAGCCCTCTACAATCAGGTAATGTGGATCTGTAGCTGTGCTCTGGAGACCGGCAGCATGACTTTAGTAAGAACAGGAATGTGTGGCTTGGTTGAAAGAGTTGCGGGGGTGAGGTTAGAGATGGATGATGACAGTTGTGACCCTCCGGAGATCCGTTGGCAGGACAAGAAAGTTTATGGTGCTTTTGTTGCCTTTTTAATTCATCTGGAGCTTGTTTCTGTTCTGCTTAGGTTGAATGAAGAAGTGATTTGTCTAGGATGACCTAGACGAACCTCAGCCCTTTAGTCGAGCAGCAACCCTATTTTTCTTCCTGCTCCCTCCAGCCCATCGTTTTTTAGTGGTTTAAGTCCTTAGCGTGCAAGGCCTTTCCTGTCAGCTCTGCAAATATCAATCTGACTGGTAAATGGAGAGGGTCTTGTGGGCCCCGCTTTCTCACCCAGGCCAGTTTAGCTGTGACGTAACCGATGCCTTGGAGCGTTATTGCTGTAGAACTCTACTAGACGGACTAATTCAGGCCAGTGTGATGTTCCCAGGCCTTCATGGTTTAAAACCACATGCTCGGTTGGCTCAAATTGGTGCTTGTATTTGATGAATTCCACAGAAATTCCAAAAACAGAAGAGAGATGTTTTAAAACAATTCATAAAATTGGCTGCTACGTTGCCAGAGCATATCTGTTTGGTCCTGAGTGGTTTGCAGAAGTTTAGGCAGATTCTGTGGCAGAATTGGCAATGGTGGAAGACCTCAGAGGTGGTTCCCCGGAGACAGGCTTGGAGGCCGACAGAGCACAGGCTGGCAGGCTCACGAGTGGACGCTCAGCAGCTACAGGAAGTCCCTCTAGAGTTCTTCAGTTAATTCTCTCGCACGCAAACACAACTGTGTCATCCCTTCTCCGCTCGCCCACATCCTCCAACCCTCAGGTTTTACAGGGGTAAACGGATGGTGTCAACTAGGAACTTTCTTATCTTCGCTGCGCAGAGGTGTAAACTGACGTACATCTACCATTAGCCTTTCTGCTCCCTCCCTGCCGCCGCTGGAAAAGCTCTTCTTTCTGTCTCCAGTGCCCTGTGGTTTAGAGCTATCTCTCCGCACCATCCCAGGTGTCTTAGGATATCGGTTATCCCTTCTTACTCATACTCTCAACCCCTCCCTCCACCTTTTTTTTTTTTTTGGCCACAGCACGTGGCATGCGGGATCCTAGTTCCCTGACCAGGGATTGAACCCCTGCTCTCTGCAGTGAAGTACAAATTCTCAGCCACTGGACCGCCAGGGAAGTCCCAACCCCTCCCCTTTTTAAGCGCCCCCAGGTCCTTCCTGTGGAAGACAAGCAAATCAACAGTACCTTAATATATTTTTTTATTTTTTATTTTTTTGTGGTACACGGGCCTCTCACTGTTGTGGCCTCTCCCATTGCGGAGCACAGGCTCCGGACGCGCAGGCTCAGCGGCCATGGCCTACGGGCCCAGCCGCTCCGCGGCATGTGGGATCTTCCCGGACCGGGGCACGAACCTGCGTCCCCTGCATCGGCAGGCGGACCCTCAACCACTGCGCCACCAGGGAAGCCCCAACAGAACCTTTATTTGATTCTTCCCCCTCCTCCACACACCCATTCTCTGGCCTCTTCCTTCACAGCCAAGCTTCTTGGAAAAGCTGTTCATCCTTCCTGTCTCCTCGCCGTCCACTAGACTTTCAGGCCCCTCTCCAGGTCCACTGACCAGCAGATACTCTAGCTCTCATCTTGTTTGATCTTTCAACAGTTCTTGATGTTCTTCCTTCTGGAAACACTGTCTTCCTGTGGCTACCGTGACATGACTCTCTCCTTACGTTCCTTCTGTCCTTGTCTGCTCCCGTCGGCCTTTCTAAGGTAGACGCGTCATCAGCGCTGATGCATTTCATCCTCTGGGCTCCACGAGGCCGTCTTGTCCTCATGGAGTCACAGTGCTGGCAGCCTCTAAATGTGAGATCTCCTGCCCAGGCTTCTCTGAGCTTTGGATGAGTGTGTCCCACCATTTTCATACTGTTTCTTCCTCATGAAATCCAAAGGCACCTCCTAAAATGAAAGTGTCTAGAACCCCCTCCATCCTGGCCCTCTTCCAGTACTCCCTGTGTCTGATTGGCAGCAGCATCCATCCAGATGCCTATGGCAAAAATCTCAGTGTCATTCTGGTTATCGTCTCCTTCTCGGCCACCACATCTAGCCCATCGGTAAATCCCACTGGATTTTACCTGTTACATTTTTCCTTTCTTTCTTTCTTTTTGTAAAAAAATTTATTTATTTATTTATTTATTTATTTTTGGCTGCGTTTGGTCTTTGTTGTTGCACGCGGGCTCTCTCTAGTTGTGTCAGGCGGGGACTACTATTCATTGCGGTGCGCGGGCTTCTCACTGCGGTGGCTTCTCTTGTTGCAGAGCACGGGCTCTAGGCGTGTAGGCTCTAGAGCAGAGGCTCAGTGGTTGTGGCACACGGGCTTCGTTGCTCCACAGCATGTGGGATCTTCCCGGACCAGGGCTCGAACCCGTGTCCCCTGCATTGGCAGGCGGATTCTTAACCGCTGTGCCACCGGGGAAGTCCATGTTACATTGTTCTTGATTCCACCTAATTTTCCCCAACTGCTTCTGCCCTCCTGGTTCAAAACACCATCCTCTTTTGCCTGGACGACTGCAGCAGATAACCTGCATCTATTCTGACCCCCTCTTTCTGTTCTCACACTGCCAGCGTAATCCTTTCAAAGTGCAAATCTGATCGTATCAGCCCCATATTTAAAATTCTTCCCAGTGTTCTCAGGCTAACAATGAAGTGTCTTAAGGTGGCCTCTGTAGGGTCTGGCCCCTTCCTGACCCACCAACCTTGTTCTGCTGTCATGTTGGTCTCCCCTAATGTTAAGTCACCTGGACAGGTGTTTTTTTGTTGTTGTTTTTTTTTTTTTTTGTGGTATGCGGGTCAAGTACTTCTTTACTTTTCTTGGGAAGGTTTTGTTTCCTGTCTTTCTCACTAGACCATATGCTCCATGAAGCAGGCACCATGATTGGTCTCCCATCATTGTATTCCCAGAACCCAGCAGTGCAACACAGTGATGTGTTGTTGAATGAATAAACGGGTTTGAAGAACAGGGTTTGAGTCCCAGCCCTGGGCAGCTATGGTCTGAATCCCACTTTTCTCGTTTGTCAAATGGAGATATTTTTGCCATCTTTTAGGATTCTTGGGAGGAAAATAATTCATCTCACAAACGACGATTGTTGTTTTGAATGATTATTCTCTCTCATCTTAAGGTTGAGTCTTATGAATGTGACAGTGGAGATGATCCTAAGTCAACTAATGCCTTTATTGTTTTTCTCATATAACAAAGTGGTAGGGAATGGGGAATATAGAAATGAGAATTTCATTAGAAAATCATATTTATTTGAAACGGTGGTGGGGAAGATTAATCTGAATAAATAGACACTTAAATTTTTTTTACTTTTACTTTTTTCATTATGAGAATTCTGAGTGATCATTGAAGGTAATTTGGATGATATAGAAAGGCAGAAGAAAAGAAGCCATCACCCATCTTCCCACCTCCCAAACACATTTTCCCACACTCTCAAATAATTCATCAGAAGTCAAGTTATGGGATGAAAGAGTATGTATATGAATACTTTTTAGGCTTTAGATAATTATTCCCTAATTGGTCTCCAGAAACGTTGTGCCAATTCATACATCCACCAGTAGAGTAGGGCAGTGTCCATTTCCTGGCACCCTTGCCAACTCTGGATTTATGAAATACAGACATGTACTGCATACAGGCATATCTAGATACGTATTTAATGGGTGGAAATGGTATTTGATTAAATTTGCATTTGTAGTGCAAGTTACTCCTGAACTTGGACATTCTCTTGTTAGCCATTGGCATTTTTTCTTCACCAATTACCTGTTATTCTTTGCATAATTTTCTTTAGGAGTGTTTCTCTTTTTCATATTTACTTATAAAACCCTCTTTACATTAAGCCCATTAACTTTTAAAAAATCATATATGCAAATATGAGCTTCAGTAGAACCCTTTCACATGATCACAAGTTCAAGGGTTAACTTATACTTTATTAATGACAACTGGTTTCTCTCTTTTAAAATTTTGCCGCTTGAATTGCATGCTAAGGAGAATGTGTGTGCAAAGAGTCTGGACTTTGAAGTTGGACAAACCTGATTTCAGTCCTAGCTCTGCCACACTCTAGCTGAGGGCCTGGGACAAATTATTGAGCCTCTGCAAGTCTCAGATTTCTCTCCTGACTAACAGGAATCCTCTCGCCTTGCTTTGAGAGGTAAATAGCTTATGGATGGTGCCCTGTGCAAAAGTATGTTCTATAAATATTCACTCCCTTTCTGTACCCCTCAAAGAAAGATGTGCTGTTCTGTACGTACATCTGTATACATGTATTTTGTTTCACTAAGGAGCACACGTATTTTACTCCATTTATAGCCAGATGTGCAATCACGCATTAATATTTACTGAGTAGTTAACTGTGATCAAAGTACCAGTGAGAATAGAAAAATTCTTAGTGAACCGTGCACTATTTGCATCTAGGAGAGATTTTTAATTTTCAAGCTCAGGGATAATATTAGCAAATTCGGATCCATTCTATAAACATGGGAGACAATGTAAGTTATGGCATTCTGGAGGGAAAAAAAAAAGGCACAGACCGCTTCAAATCATCAAAAATATTTTGATTTTAAACAGCTCCTAGTGGAGTCTCAAAATACTTGCACTCTCTCATTGAGAATTGATGTCTCAGTCTGTTCTCTTTTCCTTTGTAGGTGTGGCTGGATCTCTTAAAACCTATTGTCAAGCAGATTAGAAGTAAGTATAACCGCCGCCCCCCCCCCCACTTGTTTAACAGTGATGTCAAATATGAAGCCAGACGTCTTCCTTGTCTAGGTGTTGTCGGCCCTGTGGTGTCAAGCACTGGGGCCATACTTTCTTTTTTTGCCCTGTGATTGCGTTTCAGCATCCACTAACCCACGTACTATTAAATGTATCTTCTGCAATTTTAATATATAACAATTTGGTAATCAAAACTTGGGAAACAAATGTCATTTTAATTAACGACTAAAGCAGGCTCTTAAGGCCCAGAGCAGTTGAGCTTGTCCGGTCTGTGTTCATGTTTCTTACTGTCACTTTGGAAGTGGAGAGGTGGAACCATTTATTCATAAAATTGTTATTAGGTTTTCTGTGCTGCCTTTTCAAAGCCTGTGAGATCAGAATGCAAGTGGTGTTTGGAAAAATAAGGTGCGCAGAAGTGTATGAGTGTGTGTGTGTGTGTGTGTGTGTGATTGGCAAGCAGGACAGAAGGGAGTCTGCCTTGCATTTAGACCGTGTTGTTGAAGGAAAGATAAAGAAGGGTCTAGGAAAGAAGTAAGGAAAGGGAACACTTGCTTTGTCCCTCCCTTCTCATTGTGCGTCAGCACCAGACCATCCTCCCCTTTCTCCGCTGTGAGGTCAAGTTCAGAGACAAACTCTCTTCTCCAGTTCATCCCAAATTGTCCCTCACGGCAGCCAGAGACCAGGCAAGAGACTGAGGATGGTAACAAAACTGCATTCCTTTAGTTGAACAATCACACAATACCTCTTGGGGTCGGTTTTATGTCTGATTAAGAAACCCCACCAGTGCAGTGGTTAAGAATCCGCCTGCTAGTGTAAGGGACACGGGTTTGAGCCCTGGTCCGGGAAGATCCCACATGCCGTGGAGCAGCTAGGCCCCTGCGCTGCAACTACTGAGCCTGTGCTCTAGAGCCTGCGAGCCACAACTACTGAGCCTGAGTGCCACAACTACTGAAGCCCGCGCAACTAGAGCCGTGCTCCGCAACACGAGAAGCCACCGCAGTGAGAAGCCCGCGCACCACCACGAAGACCCAACACAGCCAAAAATAAACTAAGTTTATTAAAAAAAAAAGAAAGCCCACCAGGCTACTTACAGCAATGTATGTGGCTGTAATAAACAGGCACACTGTGTTGAGTGGCCCTTATGCAGTTGAAATTGATATTGATTTTCTATCATTTAAATTAAGCAATCGTTAATGCAGAAAACAAAACAGCCATTGTTCAGCGTTTATTGGGTGGCTGGCCTAGGACTAATTGTGGAGGACACATTGCTGGGAGAAGCTGCCAGGCCTGAAGGCTGGAGGAAGCACAGCATCTAAAATGATGACATTTGTTCCCGCAGTAACCCGCGATGGGAACTACTGATGGTGGAAAACTGTCAGACCCAGGACAGCGGCTGTGGTTTGGTTTAGCACCGGAGCAGAGGCTCTCCTTTTTATCTCTGTGGGCTATGACTCGCCCCGTGTGACAAAGCTGTCATTTTGCATTTAGTGCTAGCATCTGCCTAGCTTCGGGTTTTCTAAGGATCCAAGTAGCCTCATTTAATTCCCCATCTGTGAAAATTGCTGGGAAGAATGAGCTAGACCTTCCCATCTTCCCCATTTTGTTCTTGCTATTTTGTGATCCAGAATTGACACACGAGGATTTCTGTTAATTTTTAGAATGGTCAGCGGAAAGAAGCCCGGCTTCTCTTGGTTTCAGTATTCCTGTGCCTTGTTTTTTTTCCTCCTAATTTTGTACGTATTGCCAACATCTTCGTCTTATGATACATCATTTGGGGTTTTTTCCCTAAATTTGAGTGTGTTATAAAAATTAAAGTACAACATCTTTTGTGATGGTGAAAGCTAGAGCAAAAAAGAGATTTTTAACTTTTATACAACTGCTGTTAAAATTTGGATTTCATCATAATACCTTGTATTTCATAGAACATAAACTTTTGCTGTTATTCTAAATGGCAGAACCTGTAAGATTGCTTTTGTATTGTGGCTTATACAGCAAAATAAACTCTGACTCAGGTTACAGATTATTATTTTATAATCTATTTGATGTTCTGTTTGAATTCTGGAAAGTTACCTGTCTCATTCCCAGTCTTACCCTGCCCACCCCCTCCCAGATCTGCTTCCTGATTTTGTTGGAACTTATCGATAAGATGGTGTTATGAGACACTTATTAAAGGCTTTGACTGACTGTGATGAACACAGTAGCCGCTGTACCTTGGAGAGAGTTAGAAATAATAAATTATGTAACTGATTTACTTTTTCGTTATCTCTTCCTTAAGCTGTCTAAAACCTATATTTGGACTAAAGCAGACAGATAAATTTTTGAAGACAAATGCCTGCTTTTAAAATCGGTACAATTTACGTCTCCAGGGGAAGAGTTTGATGCCTCAATGTAATGCGCCTGTCACAGTATTTTTAAAAACCGGGTATCTGGAACTTCCCTGGGGGTCCGGTAGTTGAGACTCCGTGCTTCCAATGCAGTCGGCGTGGGTTCCATCCCTGGCCGGGGAACCAAGATCCTACATGCCGTGCGGTGTGGCCAAAAAATATAATTAAAAAAACCCCAAACAGGTGTCTGTCTCCCCACAATATGAAAATGCGAATTAGTAACCAGCGTAACCAGCTATTAAGTGACTTGGATGTTGGCAGAAGTGCTCTGGGCAGCTCGGAGTAAGACTTACTATTTGGTATCTAATATACCCTCTTACATCTTTAATGGCATTTGAAAGACAAATCAATAAATGCTTTACTGCTTTTTCCCCCCTTTCTAGGGCCAAAGCATGTCGTTGTTAAGTTTGTGGTGAAATTCTTTCCACCTGACCACACACAACTCCAAGAAGAACTCACAAGGTTAGTGGTTTGGAAACTGGGTATTTATTGCTGTGGAGCAGAGAGAGTGAATGTTCTAAGTCAACTGATGAAACATTTTCACAATGTTTCCTTGACCAGCATCTGCTCTGTGCTTGACAGTTTAACCTTCCTCCCTCCCAGCTGTGTTTACAAACATGGGAAGAAAGAAAGTACCACAGTTTCCCTGAAAGCTGGTTTCTCGAAGGCTGTGCTATGAAGTATCTGGGCTTATAATCTGTTACTGTCGTATTTCCCCCCCTTACACCTGTCACATCACAAGACAGTTTTGGAAATGAATCTCTTCTGTGAAACCAAGATGTGAACTCAGTTTCTCTCTGTTGCTGCAGTGGGTGAATCGACATAAACTGTACATCAGTTTCTTTGAAGGTGTGGCCAAGTGGGAGGAGTGTGGCCAAGCCCTGCGCCTGGTAGCTGTGTGACCAGCTGGTTACTAAACGTCCCTGCACCTCTGTTAATTCCCTTGTCAACGCGACTGCAGTGCTTGCTTAGCCAGCGTGGCTTTGAAGATGAGTACTAGTATGCAGAGTGCCCGGAACCCAGCAGGGATGCTATGAGTGACAGCCTCCATCATCCTCATCACCATCACCCGCATCTTCATCCCTGCTACTACCCATTTTATAATTTACATCAAGACACGTGGTATTCCAAAAGAGAGCAGAGCCTGGTGGGAACATGTGAAGATAAAACCCCTCCCTTTCAAGACTACACTGCACTAGTCTGACCAGCCAGATTCTTGCCGCACATGCCTTTCAAGCTTTAGCTGTTCAAGATGAGGGCTGTCACATCTTTCTTGTCCCTCTGGGTTGAGAGCACAGTATTTTGGGTGGTTGAGTTTGTTAAACGGTTTGTCATTTATCAAAGAGATGAAAACATTCGGTCAGCAGTATTGATGGAGTATACATGGTGTGCAAGCCTTGTTCTAGGAACAGGGAGCATACTGGTGAAGAGACAGGCCTGACTTTCACGGGAACAGACACAATGATTAAATAAACAAGAAAAATATCAGATAATGGTAAGAGCCTTTAGGTAATGGAAGTAGATGATGTGATAGAAGGTGACTGGTGATGACTTTACAGTGCTTGGTCTGAGAAAGTGACAAGGATCTGTCAGTCGTTTTCAGAGGAAGAGCTTTGCAGGTAGAAGGAACGGTTAGGCAGTACCCAAGGCAGAAACAAGGTCCAGACGTTCAGATACCTAAAAGAGGGTTCTCATGGCAGGAACATTGAGGGCAAAGTGCATTGAGGTGGGGCAGAGGCCCGATAATACATAGTGTTGAGAGACTGGTTGCCAAAGATACCTAGGGGGGGATGACAGGAAGAGATGGCAGTCACCCAGGCCAAGATGATGGCGGCAATGGAGGTGGTAGGAGTGGAAATGGAGAAAGCACATGCATTTGGAGCACGTGCTGGAGGCGGGGTCGATTTGAATTTGTGACGGGCTGTGGGTGGAGGCTGAGGGAAGGAGAAGGGATACTTAAGATTTTGACTTAAGCAGCAACTAGATGGATGGGTGACTACTAGAATGCAAAGGGGTGGAGGGAAATAGAGCACTGGGGAGGGTGGAGAGTCAAGAGTTTGGTTCTGCCAGATCATGTTTGAGGTCCCTGCTGGACACCCCGGGGCTGCGTCAGGAGCAGTGCGAGTCCAGAACGTGCGAGTCCAGAAAGAGAGGAAGGCGAGGACTGTTCCCATGGCTTCGCGTGTTCTGAATGAGTCACCGCTGATAGTTTACCTCCACTTTCACCCCTCGAATGAATGAAGCAGCTAAGTGGCCAGGAACTGCAGAGGCCGGCAGCCTTCTGGGAACCACAAGCCTCGGCCAGGGCGCTTCCCATGGAGAAGGGGCAGCTGGGGCTGCCACCTGAGTTCCAAGCTGCCGACACCAGTAGCATCTTCATGCTGTGTCCTTATTGGGGCTACCGTGTGTCAGCTTCCGGGGCTGGTTTTCCTGTTGTTGAACGTATGTTGCTCGAAGCTCAGAATGTTGAAATGAATCAGAAGGCCAGTCCAGCCGTTGGTCAGTAGCGTGCCTTTTCCTCCCGCATTTCACTGGGCCGTCATCCAGCTTAGGAAGTCGGCGGCATAAATTACCACTGCCCCCCAACCCCAGTTCTTTCTCCCCATTCTCCTTTGCAATGAGTTTTGCACCTTTTCAGTCTTTGTGAATCATCATCTCTAGAGATTTGTGATTTTCTACCATTCTGGTCCTCGTTATAAAATTCCAGACAACTTGTGAGCATCAGGCTGTGTGTGTGTGTGCCTGGTATTTTGCCAGCTGTTCTGACCGATCTGATAAATTCCTCAAGTGACACAAGCTCAGCTGGACATAGCAGGTTTGGGGGTTTGTTGTCGCTGTTTTCTGGCTCCCAGTGTTAACTGACATTTTAGAAATCTTTTCCGAGGAGAGAATTCCTTTGGCTCTGGGGTGATAAAATTGATAGGAAGTTCAGAAGCTCCCCGTTGCTTTCCGCTTTGTCACAAGGTATGCCGGGAAGGCGACTTCCCAGATCCAAAGTGTTGTTCTCCCACACTCTCAAATTCCTATTCAAGCAGAAATTTAAGGATGGGACCATTGAGATGCCAGGCGGTTTTCTATGGCAGATGGTGAAGGAGGGAGCGTTTGGGAAAAGCCCTATATGGACACTACATCATAGGCGAAGGAGGTGCAGACAAGAGTGAGACAGACAGAAACGGGCCCGCAATTCAGCACTTTAAGTGACTCGAGCTGCAGCTAATTCTTTGGGCCTCCAGGAATAGCTTTCGGGTCCCATTTATATAGATCGAAGATTAAATTGCACTTTGCTGTTAAACAAGAAGCTGAATTCCTTTCTATTTATTGAACTACACTCTCACTGGAGCTCTTGTCCTACTGACACCAGGGCTCAGGCATCTAGAAGGAGAAAAGTACTGACTCCCAGATGCAAGTTTAAAACCGCTTGGGGGAGGGGTCTTTGGAAAAGAAGTTAGCAGGCTTTCTTCTGGCAGAGCTCAGAATCACTTGGCTGTGCTGGTGAGGTCAGACGTACTCCACTACTCTCTGAGCATCGCATCTGACATGGGATCCAGTTTCTACTTGGCTGTGTTCTTAAAGGTGCAGGGGACCTATCAGAATTTGCTGCTCTGCGGGGCCTGCTGCAGTATTGTCCTTTGGCTGGCAGAGACGTCGTACTGTACACTGAATAAGGAAAGAAAGATGAAGAGCTCCCGGATGAAATAAATTGAAACAGGCATGTTTAAACCATGGCATCAAGATGGGTGTGATTTCCTCCCCTGTGGTCCCTGGAAGTGACAGCCCTCTGATTGGCCCTGCCGCTGTCATCGCCTCCTTCCTCACATCCATCCTTCCGCCAAGGAGAGTTGATTCCGTTTTGAGCCCTTCGTGTGAATTTGATTGGAGCTGCTTCAGTTTAGAATGCAAAAGGTGCTGCGGAATTTCTAAAGTTAGCCCTGCAGCCAGCGTGCGGGACCTACAGCTGTCTTTACGAGAAGATGAGACGGTACCCAGGAAGGTCTTTCTCAGATTACAAGGGCCTTAGCACAAGTCAGCGTAATCAGGGAGTGACAGAGTCCTCCTGCAGTTGGCAACGGGGCACTTGTCCTTTGTCTAAATAGGTGAGCTCTCGGAACCCAGCGCCGTGTCGCCACCCACAGGAGACCCTCCCCAGAGGCCCCGAAGCCTCTCGGACCCTGAACCTGAGTCTGTCCCTGGACACAGCATCCTGTTGTTTGAACTGGTAGATGTTACCATATTCAGAACATCATGCTTTTAAAACATACATTCTTCCTACTTAGGTAAAAACTAACCACACAGATAAGAATTAAAGCCTGTGATTCTAAGTGTTGGCTTCAAGAAACAACAACCACTGCCTAATCCAGAGATACGGTTTGTACCACATCTTCCCATATAAACCTATGTGCTGATGTTGTGATTACTTTATATGCTCTGCCATTCTCTACTTTGACTTTCCAAGGAGAGAGACAGAAAAGAAAGTGAATGAATGAATGCGTAAACATTACATTGTGGAGGGTAGATAAAGGTCAACTGTTGTCAACTAGTGGATCTGTGGGTGTTTTTTTGTTATGGTTTTTTTCTGGTTACAGAATGCCTCTGTAGTTCTTTAGTTCTTAATCATGGAATTTCCTAAACGACTTAAAGGGGATTCATTTTTCTTTTATTTAAAAAAAAATTGCTAACATATACTGAATGTTTTCATTCTGGTCACTATGCCTTCCATGTGTTATCTCATTTAATTCTTAAGGCCACCTCTATGGTTAGTCGTGTTAAAAGCCCTTTTTTGGGGCTTCCCTGGTGGTGCAGTGGTTGAGAATCTGCCTGCTAATGCAGGGGACACGGGTTCGAGCCCTGGTCTGGGAGGATCCCACATGCCACAGAGCAGCTAGGCCCGTGAGAGCCTGCGCATCTGGAGCCTGTGCTCCGCAGCAAGAGAGGCCGCGATAGTGAGAGGCCCGCGCACTGCGATGAAGAGTGGCCCCCACTTGCCACAACTAGAGAAAGCCCTCGCACAGAAACAAAGACGCAACACAGCCAAAAATAAATAAATTAATAAACTTCTACCCCCAACATCTTCTTTAAAAAGAAAAAAGCCCTTTTTTTATTAAAAAAAATTAAAAAGAACCCTTTGTTATTACAAAAGTAGTCAACGTACAGTGTAGAAAGTTAGAATATACAGGTAAACAAGACTAAGAAGATAAAACTACTGTGTTCTTGCTGCCCAGAGCTGAGCGTTGTTAACACATCAGTGAGAGCGCCTTTCTGATATTTTCTGTGCATATACATGTACTGTTCATCTAATCTGGTACCCTGGCCGTACTCAGATGTCCCCCTTTGTTCCCCAGATGTCATTTATATCTGATTATCTAACGTGAAATTCACTGTAGGACCACGTTGCATCTGGTTGTTATGCCCTTTGGACCTCTTAATCTAGCAGAGTCCCTCTTTTTTTTTCTCTTCGTGATACCATCTTTTTGAAGAAACTGAACCGGTCATACTATAAAATAGCCTACCTGGGGCTTCCCTGGTGGTGCAGTGGTTGAGAGTCCGCCTGCCGATGCAGGGGACACGGGTTCGTGCCCCGGTCCGGGAAGATACCACATGCCGCGGAGCGGCTGGGCCCGTGAGCCGTGGCCGCTGAGCCTGCGCGTCCGGAGCCTGTGCTCCGCAACGGGAGAGGCCACAACAGCGAGAGACCTGCGTACTGCAAAAAAAAAAAAAAAAAGCGTACCTGCTAAATTTGTCTGGTTGCTTCCTGTTTAGCTTATTTCTCTGTCTTCTGTATTTCCTGCAAACTAGACCTTAGTTCTAAAGGATACAAGTTAAACATTCTTGGCTAGAATCCCATCCTAAGTGATGTCCTGTGTTCCCTGTTTCATTAGTGATGCTCAGATTGATCACTGAGTTAAGGGTGGTGACATTCTGACCTTTCCATTGTGAAGGGAAGTCATATGACTTTGTATGCAAATGTCCAAACTCCTAAGTGGTTTTTATACTAATTAACAATCCTTGCCAAGTCAATAATTTCTTTACAGGTGTGGGATGAGGGTTTTATAATTATTTTTGCTGTGTTATTTGTCAGTGTTCTTCTGTAAAGTAGAACTTTGCCCCATCTACTTAGATTATCTGCATATCCTGAAATACCCTTCCTACTGGAGAGGCAGATTACATGCCCAAGTTTTTGCCTTGGGTTACCAGTTTCCTAAAAAAGAATTTCTTGAATAGACTCCTCAAATGGTGATACATTCTACTTTTTCTGCTTTCTATTTTATGACTATTATAATGGACTCATAAAGTTTTATTAGTTCCATGTGTTTCAGTTCACTTTAATCATTCTTTATTGCTATTCAAGTTGTCACAACTTTGGCCAGTGGCCGCCCCTTCAAGGTTTTTTTTCCCCCTTTTAAAATAACCCATTTATATTTGCAAGCTGCCTTGCTCTCTGGCATAACTAGATCTTCCAGGCTTGCTTTGTACCTTCCTCTGCCCCACACCTACCATTTCTGCAAGGTCCTACCTCTGTATCCTTCTCATGGGTAATTGTGTGAGAGCCAGAATCTGGTTGCTAAGGGTTGCTGCCGAAGTCACGCTCCTGCTAGACAGTGGGCAAAACTAGCAAATATCTTTCTAAAAATCTGGGCTTCCCTGGTGGCGCAGTGGTTGAGAGTCCGCCTGCCGACGCAGGGGACACGGGCTCGTGCCCCGGTCCGGGAGGATCCCACATGCCGCGGAGCGGCTGGGCCCGTGAGCCATGGCCCCTGAGTCTGCGCATTCGGAGCCTGTGCTCCGCGACGGGAGAGGCCGCAGTAGTGAGGCCCGCGTACCACAAAAAAAAAAAAAAAAAAAAAGAAGACACTCTTGCGTTTCCAGTTCCATTGGCAAGGCTTTTCCTAACCATGATAGCCTACTGTTATTGTCTGAGCCATAAAGCCATTTTTTTAGTATATTTGACTGATCTGTGAAAAAATTTTAAATGTGTGCTATACCCTGCAAAAATAGATAGGGTGGTAAGTTATAGTCTTAATTACTTATGGCTATATCTCTCCATATAAAATAAAATGCATTACTTATTGTGTGGAAAGATTGCAGCATATGTCTCCCGGTGCTTGAAGGGAGGTGTGAATATTTACATTGCAGCCAGTAGCACCAGGAATTCATCCCTCCTGTGCAGACTTTCTTGTTCTTTGGCTTATATACCTTTCTTTAGGTCCTCACTGTGTGGGCAAGTTGCCAGTGAGCAAAGTGAGCCTGACTTTGTTGCCAAACCTCCCCACCCTCTTTGCTTGACACCCATCTCTATGTGTCTGACGCCCATCTCTCTTCGTATTCGCAGGTACCTATTTGCTCTGCAGGTGAAGCAGGACCTGGCTCAAGGCAGGCTGACGTGTAGTGACACCAGCGCTGCCCTCTTGGTCTCACACATTGTGCAATGTAAGTTCCGTTGGTTTCCTTCAGAAAGCATGTGGGAAATAACACAGTGATCTGCTTGGTGGGGAGAAAAATGACATCCACTGAAAGCAATAATGTCTTTGTCTTACACTGCTATTAGCATGAAACCCAAGGGGTGGAAAACAGTACTCCTAACTTTGTGTATATATACTCCCCCACCAAACGCTCACCCAGGAATTTTGTGTTCTGGTGTTCGTCTACTCTTTCTAAGGACTATGCGTTTGTTGAAAACTCAGTTGACTCAAAGGAGAAGCTTGGATACACGGTGGCAAAGTAGACTAAACTCATTCTGTCCTGTTCTTGCATTTAATATTCGTCATTGAATATGGCCCATTAGCCTTCAGACATAAAACTGTCAAAGATTTCCCTTCTTGTATTCTGCTCGAGAGTTCAGTAAACCAAGACACATGAGGCTGGATGGAACCCAAGTGATGCTTGAAGCTACATATTTTAACTTTCTTCCTCTAGACAAAGGATAAGTTAGATTGTGCTCATTCTAAGGCTTCCTGGCTACTCACCTGGGCATTTTTTTTTTGTCTTGGTCAAGGCAGAAGTTACTTGAAATGGAATATACACATTATGTTTCAGGAAGGAAATTATGTATATAGACCAAGGTCAACATCGAAAAGCACTAGTATAAAAAAAATTGCGCTAGCATATCATTCTAAAATTTCCATTGTATACAAAGTAGTCCCATATAATCAGCCCCATCCTGTCCAGATAACTGCCCAGTTAACAAGCTTTCCACAGGTTTGTAGGAAGGGTCACTCCCAGTAGTCAACAAATTACCTTAGTCTAAAATGATGAGGTGTTTCTAGAGACCATGCTTATCTTATTTTTTGTGCATGGCAGTTGTTGAATTTCTGCCAGACTTAGTAGATGGATGTTTTCTTATTAATTTGAAAAAATGATGTGAGAAAGAAAAGACAGGCCAAAAAGAAAAAAGTAGGTAAACTTTTAAAACTTTACTATGTTCCAGCTCTGTGTATATTATCTCATTTAATCCTTATAACAACACTGTGAGCTCAGTACTGTTATCCCCATTTTAAAATGAGGAAGCTTTGACACAGAAAGTTACATAACTTTTGCCTTTCCCATGTTTGGTCTTCTCTCTTCTTACAGTGACAGTGGACAGAGGAGGGCTTTGAATCAGGCAGACCTCGTTTCTGTTAGTTGATTGTTCACCCTGGCAAGTTACTAAGCCGCCAGCCTCTCTTTCCTTTGGAACAGGGGGATAATAGAATCTGTTTCACAACAGGTGAAAATGAAATGATAGCATCAATATTCAGCATATGTTAGGTGTGCAGTAAATATACCCTCCTTTCTTTATCCTCACTCACCTAGGGCCCTCCCTTTCCAAACAATGGGAAATTTTGACATAAAGCTTCCTTATTGGAATAGCAACTTCAGCAAAGGTCTCTGACCCTGGACCTTTGGTGAGAGAAATTTAGTTAGCTATTCCTGATGCCATTCAGTCTTGTAGCCCCTTCCTCCTGAGGCCCTTCCTTTTTAAAGAAAGAGTGAATCTTCCTTTTTAAACAAGGAGCGAATCTTGCTTGCACACATGGGAAGTGGAGAGTCACGGGAATCCAGAAAACCATGTGCTTGGTCTGATGGACCCCCCACCCCCAGACACCAACAAGGGGCTCAAAATCCCCTGAGAATCTTGAGTTCTCCAAAGGAAATGAAATAGTTGGGTTCAGAAGCATTTCTGCTATTTCTATACTCTGTGATACGCAGTTGCGTGACACGCTGTTTCTGTAATCTTATACTGAAAAAGCCCCATTTCTGTATTTTTAAGCGTCCTGTACATTCTGTCATGGAAGGAGAAATTTCACAGAGTCCTCTGTGAATAGTGTGTTCATTTAAATTATTGGTAGTTATTGACGTCATCGGTAAGGTAGGAGAGGTCAGCTCATCTCCCTTCTGCAGAAGTGATATTAATGCTGATGGAAAATTATCTCTAGTGAGCTATATTTTCATCTCCTCTGTATCTATACACACCATCTGATTTTTTAAAAAATTTTCCTCCCTTTCATTTGAATTCGTGGAGTCATCTTTTACATAGTCTGTATTGTTTTCATTGGTTCCTCTGTTACTGGCCTTAGGTATCCCCTGTGTATATTTCAGACTTTTAATACTCTCTAGTTGATTATGAATAGACCAAGTGGGGCAAGCTGATGAAGAGAAGAATCAAACACTCTTTGGACCTGATGTAACAGAGGAGGCATGGTGGGGCTAGATTTCTGCAGGTTGTGTGTGCGTCCATTCTGAGGATTGTACCTGGCAAAACAAGTTTGTGCAAGCACATCCTCATGAGACTTCTCACAGGATTTGGGGGTGGTGGTGTTCTTATTTTTTTGCCAAGAGTAGACTGCTAAGGAATTTAGTATATATATCAGCTAATACGACACCTTTAATTAAAAAATAGTCATATCTTTCACACTTACAGTTCTCAGACTCTCCAGACATAAGGAGGTGCCTATTTCCATGTTTCCAAGAAGAGAGCATGTGGGAGAAAGTGGATTTCACAGTCGTGTTGCCCTTGCATTTTAGGAGTTGAAAAGCAAGTGACTCCAAGGAAAAGACAGTTTAGGCATATTCACCCTGTTGCCAAAGGAAAAACTGGAATTCTTAGCTCGTTTATATTGAATTATGGAAAAGGCTCTGTTATAAAATCCATATATGTTAAGAAACCCAAACTTAAAACTCGTAAGAAATTTAGGATTTCGGTGAGTCCCCTCTCCCTCCCACCATATGCAGTCCGTCTTCATTATTTGCAGATGTCATGTTTGCAAATTCACCTGCTCTCTGAAATTTATTTGTAAGCCCAGAATCAGCACTGTGGGTGCTTTCACGGTTACTCGCAGACACGCGCAAGAGGGTAAAAAATTGGAGTCGCCCCTCCCTCACCTCCCCAGTGGAGGTTGGAGGAGGTGATGCTTTGCCTTCTGGTTTCAGCTGTCATACTGGAAACAAGTGTCCTTTTTGTGATCTCTTTGGAGCCACGCTTTTTGCATTTCTGTGCTTTCTGTTGATTTCCCTGTTTTAAATGACCCCCAGGCATCGTTGCTGAAGTGCTTGCTGTGTAGTGTTCCTAAGTGCAGGAAGGTTTCGATGTACCTCAGGGAGAAAGTAAACACGGGTGTTTACGGGTGTAGATAAGCTTCTTTCAGATGTGAGTTACGTGCTGCTGGCCATGGGTCCCGTGTTAACGAATCAACAAGGAACATAAAGTAGGATGTCTTTCAACAGAAAACAAGGTTAGTTGGTGAAAATGTTTCAAGAGGCTCGCAGGAACCTAACCCTGTATTCCCCCTGGGAATGATGGTTTAGTCTTCACTAATTCGATGTGCGCGGGGACTTGATGCAACAGCACTACTGTGAATAATGAGATGAACTGTGCTTTCTTGAGGCCGGATAGGAGGAAGTGCAGAAAAGACAGCGTCACCGTCGCCGTGGCAAACCAGTGAGGATGGTAGTATGGCCACTCCTGTACAGTTTCCTGTGTTGGAGGGTGGCAGCTTTACTCAGGGAAGGTGAAATTTGTTCACAGAGTGCAACTAGGAAATAATGTCATTGATTTGCCATGGCAGTGAGAAGCTAGTGGGTGACTGATTCTTCCGATGGCCCAGCTGGTGCCAAGCAAATATTCTCAGTGGCTGTGATTTATAGCAACACACAGGCCACATCCTGCGTGATTACTGGGGTACGTTGCCCAAAGTGTGACAAGCTGCTTCACATGACAAAGTGAAAATTAGGCTTCATGGCAACGGTTTACTTACTTTTATTGTAAACAGTTGGACTCTGGTCATTTCATTAAGCTTGTTACACAGACTATATGATAAAGGCATGCTGTTGCATCTGTATTAAATTGCTGTAGACTGAGCTGGAGCTAGTGTTAAGGTACAATTATTAATTTAAAGCTCTATCCTTTAGTTTTCCAGATTAGAGCAATGTGGGGACTTGAGAAAATTATGCATCCACTTCCTTGTAGACTAAAAATTTGTAAGAATTTGCGATCTGATCTGTCATTTCTGACAGCACAACTACACAAAATTTAAGACACTTGAAGTTGTTTACCAAATTAGATTATGTACGTCTACCCCTAGTTATAATCGTCTTTTCTCTACATGATAAAGCATTTGGGATTTGCACTGATAATTGCTAGACGTGTGTCTCCAAAGTTGATTTTGTCAAGCCCTGAAATTCTGGGGCTTATTTAGAAGTCAGAAGGCCTTAATCCACATAACTAGAAATGTACTACCTGAAGTGGAAGTGAACCCCTAGTTGGTAGGGGGGGAGGAAAGAAACAAACCGGCAACATGGATGACTAAAGATGGATGATTCTGAAGTTTTCTTTCCAACTGGTAGAGATGAGAAAAAGCGGAAACTGTCATCTTACGTTGGCACGGTTGTTAAATATGCCCTTACAGCCACCGCTTCTCACATCTAGCCCTTAGGATACCCACCAGCTGGGATTGCCTTGTGTTGTCTGCTAGTTTTTCTCGTTTGCTAGTTGGGGAACAGTCCACTGGGAGTATAACCAATTGTGAAGTATTAATCGTATGTGTCTGGTTTTTCTTTCTCTCTTTCTTTGCAGCTGAGATTGGGGATTTTGATGAAGCATCGGACAGAGAGCATTTAGCAAAAAATAAGTACATACCTCAGCAAGATGCACTAGAAGATAAGATTGTGGAATTTCACCATAACCACATGTAAGTCTCCTTTGTTGCTTCCTACTTGCTTTGAGCTCCTTCTCTGTGGGCGCGCGCGCGCACACACGCACACACACACACACACACACACACACACACACACACACACACACACACACACACACACACAGTGACCTATTGGGAAGAAATATACAAAGTGTGAGGAAGGAGAGCGCAGAGGCTCAGCGGCTGTTGTTTCTTATCCCGGACTATTGGGCAACACAGGTCACCCACTCAAGACCAGACCTCTGGGCTCCTTGCTTGCTTTCCTGTGAGACCAGAGTAACACTGGAATTTAGGACCCCCCGTGCTTTGTAGGAAAAGGAAGAGTATAAGACCAAGTACCAGGAAATCAGGAAGGGCACATGATAACTAGGGGCAGTATAAGAATATTGTGAAAATGGAGAACCTTTGCGCCACGTCCACTCTGGTTTTCCGTTTCGATCAATAAAATATTTTCAAAGCCTTCTCTGCTCCTTTTGTTTTCGTTGTTGTCTTTCAAGGAAGGCACTTGAGTCTTGGTGATAGTTGCCTTGACAGTGTCGGACTTTGCAAGTGTAGGGCTATTGTAAGTGACTGGAAACTTGTTTCAACATGGTCGTGTTTTGCTTTTATATGACCTTAAAGGAAACTCTTTGAGATTCCAAAAAACTGGCCGAGTTTGAGATAGACTTTGGGGGTTTTGTGTTACACAAGCAATAGAGCTTTTGTTCCAGTTGCTCAACTTCAGATTATAATGAATGGGAGGCCGGGTGTCATCCGATCGGGTAGCCCCATTGTTGGTGATGAAATGCCTTTTTCTTTCCGAAGAGAAGATGCTTAATCTTGAATTCATAGACACGGAGAATTCAAATCTCCTGGCCTTTCTCTTGAATTTTTGTTTTGTCAGTGGACAAACACCCGCAGAATCGGATTTCCAGCTCCTGGAGATTGCCCGCAGGCTGGAGATGTACGGCGTCCGATTGCACCCAGCTAAGGACCGGGAAGGCACTAAGATCAACCTGGCTGTGGCCAACACGGGGATTCTAGTGTTTCAGGTAAGAGCGTTTAGAACCAGCTCGGTTCCCTTGGTGTTGCAGAGATAAGAGTTGGCCCTTCAACTCTGATTCCAAGTTGGGTGGTCCAGGCTAAGACCGCTGATAGTTATTTTTAGGTGAACTGGGAAAAACAAACCTCATCTCAGGGTTTCCTGTTTCTGTCCAGACCCTCAGACTTGCAGGTTTAATTTCTTTTGCCTTGCTCTGGTTGGGGAATCCATGACTGCAGGTTTGTTTGCATTTATTGACTTTGTAGGATCATAGAAATCCCTCTCTATCTGTTGACCTAACTTTGAACTTAGTCTAATGGAATCAAGATTTCAGATCCCCAATATAAACACCTTTTTCACACTTGCCCATGATATTCATCTGATTTTTTTTTAACCTAATTTGGGTTCTTTTTTTTTTTTTAACCTGATTTGGGTTTTACCTAAGTTAGCTTGTTTGTGGTTTCACATTTACCTAACTTAGAAGATATAGCAGTTTTATAAATTCACAGAAGCTATGTCCATGTCCTGCTGTAATTTTGCAGCTACACACATACTGCTCTTGGACCCTTACCTGTGTTTTACATAAGGACACACCACTCTGCACTCTGAAATGTGTGCACCGTTGATCACGCTGCTGCTGTACTGCTGTTGATCGATGCATCTCTTTTTCTTGACAATTTCGTTGACGTACTATTGACATGCAATTAAACGCACACATTTAAAGCATATGCTGTTCTTAAATATGTATAAGTCCTTAAATACGTGTGTCCTTTGAAACCATCAGTGAAATCAAGACAGTGAACATATTCATCACCCCAGAGGTTTCCTCAGGACTTTTTTCTTTTTTTTTATATTGAAGTCGTTGGTTCACAATATTATATTAGTTTCAGGTACATGACATAGTGATTGAATAGTTTATAGGTTATACTCCATTTAAAGTTGTTATAAAATATTGCCTAGTAATAAACTGTAATGGAAAAGAATTTTTTAAAGACTATAGATGTTTACACATATATATAAATATATATAACAGAATCATTTTGAAACTTACCCAGTATTGTAAATCAACTATACTTCAATTAAAAAAAAGATACCTAATTTAAAAAAGAATACACACACACACACACACACACACACACACACACACACACACACACACGCATATACATATATATAGCCTAGATTCCCTGTGCTGTACAATATATCCCTCAAGGCTTTCTCTTTTAAACAAAAGTGCTTTGGTTTCAAAGGGGTATGAAGAAAGCATCTGACCCTATTTCATCTCATGAAATAGGGTCAGATTTCACCCAGTTTTGAAGGTGTAAATACGTGCATGACCTAAAACTCTCTGTTTGAGCTTTGCCAGATTGGGTTACATTTCCCCCTTCGTATTTTACCAAAGTAACCCCAGTGATTCTTTGCTCCTGTATCAGATGTTTATGACGGACAGCAATTACCGAAGGGTTCGTGTCCCGAGAGAAGTTGAAGTTGGGTTTCCTATGGGACACTAAGAAGTGACATTTTATGAGCAGCATGGTATTTGAGGAGGTGACTGTCCCTAATACTCACTGACCTGCAGAAATAATCTAGGCGTCCCTGATGAGAAAAACAAGAGTGAAACAATGTGGTTGTCAGTCCTACCATTCCGCTTCAAAGTTAAAACCCTTAAACATTTCTAAAGATCATAGTTGGGGGAAGAGGTGCCTCACAATTGAATTAATTTGCTTGGATTATGTTTGAGACACTTGAAATGTTGAGAGTTGTTCCGTAATGTCATCATAAACAAGGACAGTATCTTGAAATTAATCTTCTTGCCTGTGCCTAATTGCTTCATTCTAACCAATTTAAACAAATGGTTCTGGTGTTCAAACGGGCTCGAGGAATTCTAATTTCAGTTGAGAGGACGGCACAGATAGGAGCTGGTATCTGGCGACTCCCCACTGTGTCTCCCCCACTCCCACCTGGCGATCAAAGATGAAGATGTGTGCGTCCCTCCCGGAGACTGTTCTCTGGCCTCAGAGACACACGGAGGGTGGGGTCTCCCCTCCCCGGCCCTGCTTGTGCTGTTGGAAGCAGAGCAGTGTGGACAGAGCAGGTGATCGCTAACCGCTGTGTTGCTTCTGTGGCTATAACAACAGCTGCTGGTTAAGGCACATGCCCGGGAATCTCATTCTGCCGCGGTAACCATGTGATTTCGGGCAAATTAAAATCTAGCCATGCTGCAGTTTCCACAGGTGTAGAATGAAGATAATAAATCCAGCTCCCTGGGTTTCGTGTAAGGCTTCACAAGATAAGGGCTGTAGGGGACTTGGGACAGTGCCTGGCACTGGGCCCGTGATGGTCGCCAGCAGTTGTGGTGGTTGTCATGGTGTTTATTTTTATTTATGTTTCTCTGTATCAGCCCCTCGGCCAGCCTCTTGTCTCCCTGGAGGCAGACTTAATTTGAAGGCCAGATCATGTAATTAGTGAGAAACAATGATCCAGGAAGGGAATGGGAATCATCGCACAGTCGCAGAGCCCGGGAATTCTCCCGTGAGAGGCGTTCTTAGGAGCGGTAGAACGTCAGCCCTCCTTTCAGCTCCCCGTGAGCGGAGCAGACCGACTCGCGTGTTGCTTGTCATTCATTTCCCGGCTCACTGGCCGATAACCTTTCTTCTCAGGGTTTTACGAAGATCAATGCCTTCAACTGGGCAAAGGTGCGGAAGCTGAGCTTCAAGAGAAAGCGCTTTCTCATCAAGCTCCGCCCAGATGTGAACGTAAGTGCCTCCCGGGAAAGAGCAGCGGGAGACCAATGAGCCCCCTCGGGGCGGGGCGGGGCGGGGCGGGGCGGGTCCCACTAGGGCGCAGGCGGAACCCATGGCAGGCAGCTCTCCAGGTGTCTGCCAGTCTGTACTGTGTATCCAGAGGCTCGGTCCCTCCGCAGCTGTCCTCAGCAGTAGACAGAGGGCACAGATGTGTGCCCAGGGAGGGGTCACTTCGCTGTGCATCTACGGGCCGCCCCCTCCTGTGCAGTCGCCGCGTCTCCAGCCTCAGCCACCTCGACACCCCGGTCAGCGCCCTGCCGTGCTCCAGGTCTATCCCTCCCCACCCAGGGGCGGTCCTGCTGGAGTCCCCAGCCCCTGACAGCACACTCTCACGAGCTGACCCGGCCCCTCCCCTAGCACACTTCCCGAAGACCCTCCCTCTAAAGATGTCGCTCACGTGGCGCCAGGTCAGAGAAGGAAGAAAGCGTTTTCTCCATCCGCCATAAAAATAGGGATGGATGGGCGACAGAGTGCTGATGTCCCCAGCCAGAACTGGAGTGCTTTTTTCCATGGGGGTAAAAAAAGATTATAAGTGGCAGTCTAGGTTTATAGTAATTTGGTTACATTATGGATGAAATAGGTTTTTATGGCCTGATTTGGGAAGCAGGCACCCACTGGAAGTTGTTTTCTATGAGAAGACGTGTTTTGAGTCCAAAAGACTGGGTACTGCAGCACGACTTGTCTGTAAGTTGAGGCTGCACTACCGAGAACTGTGAGATTCTCCCAAAATGGCTGGAACCGCTGAGAATGTTAAGGGCTGTGGTAACATTTGTTTATATAATATGGTCACTTAAATTGAGAGCATTCAGTCTGGAAGTAGAAAATTACCATATCCCCTTTCGCAAATCAAAGGACATGAATTTTTCAGCCTTGGGTGATACCTCAGTGCTGCAGAAAAAATGTTCATTTCCTGTATGGTCCCTGGGGCCACCTGGAGGCTGGAGCCATATGCTTTTTGATGGAGAAAAGGCTTAAGCACAATATTCAAAGTTGGCAGGAACCATGGGGGAGAAAACAGGAAGAAGAAATGTGTTTCAGTTATTTTAAGGAGGCAGAAAAGGCATTTCAGTACTTGGATATTTTTTAACGAAGGAAATGTAAGTCAAGTAAACAGCATTTGCTTATGATTCCTGTCAAAGGAAATGTTACAACTTCTGCTGCGTATCCCCATTTTCTGTGTGTTCCTCTAAGGAATTAAGTGGGGAAGAAGATGGTTGAACGATGATGACTATATTTCGTCATGAGGAACAAATGTATTTTACTAAATATGTGGATTTATGGTCATGCTATAATAAAATACACAACTGAAATTTTATTGGACAAATTTGTTTTCTGCCCCCTTTCCCGTATTGTAACTGAATGTCTATGGGTAATGGAAAAAACCAAAGTGTTATTTTCTCTTTCTAGAGCTCATACCAGGATACCTTGGAATTCCTAATGGCCAGTCGGGATTTTTGCAAATCCTTCTGGAAAATCTGTGTTGAACATCATGCCTTTTTTAGACTTTTTGAAGAGCCCAAACCAAAGCCAAAGCCTGTTCTCTTTAGCCGAGGGTCATCGTTTCGGTTCAGGTAAGGATTCTGGTAAGGATTCTGCTTCACATCTCTCCGTTTGCCATGTGGTCATTTTCCCCAAGACTTTCCTCGGGAAAGTTGGCTTCTAAGAGCTTTGGCTGATGGCATGTTTGCTCGGTCATCGCGGAAGCCTCCTGGCAGCCCCTTGCTGTGTTCGTTTTGAACGCTAGGTAGCCACAAGGCAGTCTGCCCAGCCACAGACAATGCCTAGAGGAACTCTTCTAGTTCAGAAAGGATTTCCTTTCTCTGTAGAAGCAAAAGCACCTTGTTAACACTTGCTGTAGCTTCACCGAATGCTGTGTAGACCTGCCCATCACCAATTTCTCACTCATTCTTTCAACCAGTCTTCGAGTGTCTACTGCATGTCAGATTCTGCTCTAGGTGTCGGGGGTACACAGTGAACAGAGCTATCCCTGCCTTCGTGAAGTGTACAGGCTCTTGGGATGGTTGCTTAATAATCAAACACAGAACTGTTAAGTTGTTGAGTTCATTGAACTTTTTCTGTCATGTATAAGGGAAATATCAAGAGACAGAATGGATGCAAAAGCAGTTTCTCTTGGGACTGCTTTCATCCCGGGCTAGCCGAGAAAACTCCCGTGTCTCCCAGCTGTGGGAGGGAGGCAAGATGGTGGAGGGTTGTGCTGAGTGTGAAATGAGAACGCCTTGCTGTCTTCTCTGCCCCCTCTCGTGGTCTTCATTTTAGTGGCCGGACTCAGAAGCAGGTTCTCGACTATGTTAAAGAAGGAGGACATAAGAAGGTGCAGTTTGAAAGGTAAGAGAAACGTCAGTGCCACTTGCGATTTGAGAGGAGTCGTTCTCTGCAGGCAGTGGTGCTCTAAGCGGCTAAGCATTGCTGCCCCCAGGTGCGGTGAGCTAGAGAATCGCTGCCGCCCAGTCAGTCTCGGTCGGTTCAGTGTTAGGAACAGCTGAGGCCCGGGGGACACTTAACTGCAGGGTGAGGGGAAGCCAGCAGAGGGCAGGGGTGCAAGAGGAACATGAGCTGACAGAGGGGGTGAAGCGCTGTAAAGACCTACTCACCGGTGAGTCCTTAAATATTTGGGGATTTGAATTGGAAGTATTTCTATAAACTTTTTTTCTTTAAATTGGAAAAATTGCAAACCGTTTTCTTTAGATTTTTTTTTAATTAATTTTTATTGGAGTGTAGTTGATTTACAGTGTTGTGTTAGTTTCAGGTGTACAGCAAAGTGAATCAGTGACACATATATCCACTCTTTTTTAGATTCTATTCCCATATAGGTCATTACAGAGTACTGAGGAGAGTTCTATAAACTTTTTAATTCAGTAACATTTGATTGAAGAGAAACAGGATTTATTATTGTTGTTAGCAAATGCTGATAGCTCTTATTGTATGCCAGGCACTGTTCCAAGCCCTTTAGACATAGGAACTCATGGAGTCTTCATACGTGCTCTGTGAGGTCCGTGCTATTTTATTTCCTTTTTAAAAGATGGAGACATGGCAGCTCAAAGATGTTGAGTAACTCGCCCAGGTCTCAGAGCTGGTAAGTGGGCCCTGGTCATCCAACTCCAGAGCTCACTGCCCTTGAGCACTGCTCTGCCCAGAGGGACTAAAAGAAAAGGGTAAAGGGGTGAAGGGATGGTGCACCAATGACTGTTCAATTGCAAGTGTTTGTTTTAATGGTTTTCTTTTTTCAGTTTAACACATTTAAAAATTACAATAAAGCGCAGAGGATACAGCAAACACCCATGTTCCTAGTACTTAGAATTAACTAGGCACATTTTAACGTTGGTTTCTAGGATTTTATTTCTTCTTCCCTTATCTGCAGCTATTGTGGTTACAGATGTAGTGAAAACCCCCTTTAACCAACAGCCTTCGTTACTTCCCTCCTTCCCTCCCCAGAGACAACAACTACCTAATTCCTGTTACTTCTATTAGAAATATTCATGCACCCGAAAAGAATAGGCAGAATTGCTCTGGGGGTGTCCATCTTCATTTATATAATCAGTATTACATTGTACGTAATCATGCGTCTTGCTTTTTAAAGCTACCCTGATTTTGAGATCTATCTTAAGCATTTTATGGTATTGTGAAAGTATTACCTTTCAGGTATCTGATTCCCTGTTGATAAACATTCAGGTTGTTTGGTGTTTTGTTTTGCTTTTGCTGAAACAAATGTGCCGCCTTGACCATCCTTGTATATTTCTCCTGATGGAGATCTGGGGTCGTTTTTCCCTCCCTGTACATAGAAATGTAATGTTCAGAAGGTTATCTGTATGCTTATCTAGATGTAGCAAACCCCATCATTTTCTCGGACGATCCACGATTAATCTTTTGAGGATCGTATAAGAAGGGGTCTGCCTCTCTCTGACTCAGAATGTGGGTGCTCCAGAGCCTTGGTGTGTTAATTTGGAGTATTTTAAAGAAGAGCTGGATGGACCTTGGATTTTAATCTCTATATTTATGCAGTTTCATGTGTTTGAGTACCTGAAAAGTTTTACATGCTTGTCCCCTGGGAAGTTGGGGACCAACACACTAAGGGAAGAAGATTAAAGGGAAGGTGTTGGTGGCATTAAAAACCAGTTTCTTCTACTGTGGGGTCTATAAATTCATTCCCGGGGCAGGGCCTTTTCTCTGAACTGAGCGCTGTGAAGGAGTAGCTCATCAGTGGCAGAGGCCTCTATTATAGAACTGATCTAGAAAATCATTACCCAGAGCACACAAATTGATTTCATATTGTTAGGCCAGGGCTTGCAATTCAGAGTATACGCGGGCCCAGCCAGCTTCCCTCTCCCAGTGACATTTCCCGTAACTAGAGAGTTAGCGTTCAGTGGTAGTATTCCCAACCAGCTGGACCACTGCAGTGGGAACTGGGAATGCTGAGAACGTTTTCAAGGCTGAAGCAACCCCCGAATCCTACAAGTGATACAGAAAGGGTGACTGGGTCTGTCTCCGGGGAGCATTTATCCAAACTCCTTCGGGTGCCTTCACTACTGAGGGAATGCCTAATGCCGTTATTTTTCATGTGAAACCAATAAAGAAAACCCAATTCACCTAACTTTAGTTCTCTTGTGTGATTTCTCCCAGGAAACACAGCAAGATTCATTCCATCAGAAGCCTTGCTACGCAGCCTGCAGAGCCGAATTCAGAAGTGCCAAAACAAGTCAGTGATGGTGATAGTCACTATTATAGCTCTGTTTTCCACCAAATGTCCTCTGCTGAGGACTGGCTTTCCTAGTCTGCTTTGTTGTTCTTCATCCTTCCACTTCGGGGTGTTTTCTAGAGGAGGGTCTAGCCGTGTGCCCTGGCTCTGACCAGACACAGGCTCTGTGCTTCTCGCCCTGGCCTGTATCCTTTCCCCTCCTCCCTCCCATGCCCTGGCCCCGGGGAAGTTTGCTCTATTGGCCTGAACTCAGCTTAGGGCTGGAACCATCCGGAGCCAGAGCTGAGCCCACCCTCCAGCTAAACGGCTGCGCTTGTGTGAAGAGATCGGGATTTAGCTTGCGGGGGGGG